TTATTTTCAAATATATCAGGAAATGTCGAGGCTAGATTATACAGCTATACACGTAGAAACAAATAGAGATACGCTACTAATATATGTCTGTTAAAAGTCCATGTTTATTTCAGCCTCACAAATGTCTGAGAAGTGGGTCACTCAAACCTTTGGGTCTAATTTTAGGGGATGGAACGGCTTCAACTGATGAAGGGCTTCAATTAATTCATGGTACCCAAACCATCTGCAAGATATAATCCCCACTAGTGTGCATGGAACGCCCAGTTGCCAAAAAAAAAAAGAAGAAGAAGAATATGTCCATAAAATCAAAGATTCTACCTTAAACTGAAGGAGACTTTTTACAATCTCCCAACCTGCAGAACGTGTGCAGGCACCATTTTTAAAGCGACCAGCACCACTGGAACAAAATTTGGGGAAGGAAGAAACATGCTGCAACAGCTGACATCTTTCAGCCTGGATTCTTCTCTGCTTCTGCGCTGTGGAGGAAACCAAGCAGCCCTCCTTGCTCCCGGCTTCTCTTCCGACCTGCCCTCCACTCACCTTCCAGCTGTTGAAGTCCTGGGAAGAGCAAGAGAGGCGCGCTCCACGCCACCGTCCTCCCACCGGGTCAGCCGGAAGAGGAGAATCCTCTCTGCTTCTCTCTTCCAAATCCTCTCTAGAAATCCAGTACTCTATTGTTTCAACACCTTTAGGCTCCCGTCGCTCCCCCTCTCGTTGGGTGTCTTTACTCAGCCACCATCGATGCCGCTCTACTGTATTGACGGCTTTCTAGTCGCCGGGTGTTACTCATTTCATGGAGCGCGCGCCATCTACCGGCAAGTGGCTGGATTACAGGCTCCCGTTCGTTTGCAAGATTTTTGCTTGATACGCGACATCGATGTACTCATAGCTAGTGAAATTGAAGCAAGAACTAAACCAAGGGAAAACGTCCTTTGGGGGTGGGAAAGGAGAGTCGATGGAGTTGCTGTCCTAACTAGATTCAGAACACTCCAGTTCAGCTGTTGGCTCTAATCTCTATTGAATGCAGGAATCTGAATTAAAACAACCCCAATTTATATTTCTTAATTATTTTTTCCTTTGGGAACTCAAGGTTGCATAGAAAGCCCTTCTTAGGTAGCATCCTGGACCAAGAAGGAGGTTCATTTCAATCTCCCTTACCCATCTGTCTCCCTTCAGGGACATGATCTCAATTGGCACCCCAGAATTCCATAGCTCCTGGAAGCTACCTTCATGCCTGACCTAACTGGAACTTCTTTGCAGTGTTAATCCCGTTCTTCAACCTTATGTCCAATGTTTGTTTTAGGTGCCTTCAAGACAGATTTCACACCTGGCAATTGCCTGGATTGGTTTCTCTGCAGTTTCCTTGGCAAGGATTTTCCAAGTGGTCTTCCCCTTTCCTGCTTCGTGGACCTGAGAGAGGGACTGGTGGCCAGGGATGCCCAGATGTTTCATGCCTATGGCAGGACTGGAAATGAGGACCTCCCCATCTGTAACTTGTAGGTTTCACCATTGCACCAAACTGACTCTCCTTATTCCCCACAAAATCTATCCACTATCTCTTTCGGTGGCTGCAGCCTTTCAAGATCTACTCCAACATCTTTGCAGTTAAGTTCCCATTATTCTTCTGAAAATGAACCTTTTTTGTCTTAAATCTGAGCTTCACTCTTTTCTTCTGAGGAAATGGAGCGTCTCTCCAAATGGAATGTTGCTTCTGGCCTACCCTGGGAACCAGCCCCTCTGGATTGCCCATTGCCAAATCTAATGTCATTTTATGACAGATGGATGAGATGGATAGATGTACGTATATGGATAGATAGAAAGATAGGTAGGTAGGTAGGTAGGTAGGTAGGTAGGTAGGTAAGTAGATAGACGATAGATAGATAGATAGATAGATAGATAGATAGATAGATAGATAGATAGATAGATAGATGATAGGGTAAGGATGATAGGGTAAGGATGGACAGATGATAGACAGTGTTTGTAGGTTTTATGGGGGTTAATTAATCTATTTGTTCTGCTGTAGGGGAGATTTGCATGGAATTCCACTATTTCCTTTGTATCAGTTTCATTGTGCCTATGTTGAATGTTTTTCTAATCGGATTCAATTACTGTTGTTTTTTTAGCAATAGCAGTTAGACTTATATACCGCTTCATAGGGCTTTCAGCCCTCTCTAAGCGGTTTACAGAGTCAGCATATTGCCCCCCAAAACAATCCGGGTCCTCATTTTACCCACCTCGGAAGGATGGAAGGCTGAGTCAACCCTGAGCCGGTGAGATTTGAACAGCTGAACTGCAGAACTGCAGTCAGCTGAAGTAGCCTGCACTGCAGTGCTGCATTTAACCACTGTGCCACCTCTACACTTAATTCTTAAGCATGGCATAAATTGTTATTCCTCTCCCCACCCTCACACCCATTGCTCTCCTTTCTTGCCACCTGGTATTTTGGTTGGACGTTTGGTTAGATGTTTGGTTGGTTGGATGTATTGCAAAAGAAAAAGAAATTGGATCCTTTACAGAATCAAAAGAAACACACTTTTCGCAAGGAATTCTTGCAGTAGCCAGTAAGCTACAAACTCTTCCAACTTCTTCGCCTCCATTGCCTCTGTGCTAATATCCCATTTTGTTCCCAAAGACATCAGAATATTGTAGTTTGTATCATGGAATCACTATCTCAAAGATCCAGAGGCTTTTGAGCTATTTCAAGCATTTTCAGAACCTAAAGCATGATAAAATGTGAGAACAGATATGTCCAAAAGTGTTACTAAAGAGCATGAGAATACACTGACGTGAATTAAATAGAATTTGATCATGTAAAGATTTAGAATGTTTATTACAAAAACCAGCATAATGAACGTGGGGTATATTCAGCTAAAAAGTACAGACATTGAAATATAATAATAGTAATTATATTAAAAAGCAAAGACAAGTGACGATATTTATAAAAACAGGAGTCTAAATGAAACTCTTAAAAGTATTTAAATTTAGTAGCTGGGGGAGTCGGGTTGTGCAGTGAGACGGAATATAGAGTTGTGGTTGATTGGTGGCTCCTATGTGAGGTGATCTGTGCTGTGATTGGTTGCTGTGGGGGTGGAGGGGGCGCTTCCCTGTTTTCCCGCCTTTTTCTTCTGTCGGCTTTGTATGCTGTTCTTTGATTTACCCCATGATGCTCCTGTTTGCTTGACTACCTAGTCTGCCGCATATAGAGTTGTAAAATATATTTATACATAGAACAACAAATTCATGTCAACGTCTCTGATTTCATTTGGACATCTACTGTACAGTCCCCAGACAGGAACTAAGAGGGCAGAAAGGCATAAGATGCCTGGAGGCTGCATGAAGTTTAGTATGTGGCAAACGAAATCTATCACTCTACAGAGCAAATTGTGGGGTGAGCTGGAGGTTCCTTAAGACAAGTCATCCATCATCTGACTAATCCTAAATACTCGTCTGCAGAAATGTGGCAACATTACACAGGCAATCCTCGACGTACAACAGTTTACTTAGTGACCATTCAAAGTTACAACCGCATGGAAAAAAGCAACTTATGACTGTTTTGCACAGTTGTGACCATTGCAGCATCCTTATGGTCATGCGATTGACATTCTGACACTTGACAGCTGTCTCATATTTATGACAGTTGCAGTGTCCTGGGACCATGTGATCGCCTTTTGCAAATTTCTGAAAAGCAAAGTCAATGAGAAAGCAGATTCACTTAACAACCAGGTCATTAATTTAACAACTGCAGTGATTCACTTAACAAATGTGGCTAGAAAAGTGGTAAAATGAGGCAAAATTCACAAAACTCAATTTCTCACTTAGCAACATAAATTTTTGGCTCGATTGTGGTCATACGTGGAGGACTACCTGCACAGTATGTAATAACAGGGTTACTATCGGAAAGCATCAGGGAACTGTAGAACAGTCCTGTGTGCCCTGAGTATCTATGTAGTACTGGAAAGATAAGCCTGGTAGAACATCTGTTATACAGCCACTGGAGAAATGTGCTCCGCTGTTTCTGTGTGTACAGTCATGGAGACATTGTGTTATAACCAGAATTGAATTACTGAAATGAACAAACTTTAAATCCTTTGGTGTCTTCCAAACTCAGGAAAATGTTTAGCATCTTGACAGTCCTACTTGACACGCAAGTAGTTAATCTTAATCAAGCTAACATCATCCATTTTCATTTATTTTCTCTCACCCCTCATGCCTAATACTGAGACATCTGTCTAAACAGAATCAGGCCAGAAATTAAATACATCATTTCTCAGGTGAACTTGCAAAGACAGATCAGAAGAAATTCAAGCCTTCTCTTTACTCATCACCTTTTGGGTGATGTGGATTTTTTTATGTTTAACAAGGGAAGAGGTTTGAGAGAAGCATTTTCCACACTCTGAGCACTTGAAAGGTTTCTCACCTGTGTGTAAACCTACATGATTTATAAGGTTAGTCCTAGTACTGAAACCTTTCCCACAATCAGGACACTCGTGTGGCTTCTCCCCTGTGTGTGTCCTCTGGTGTATCACCAGGCCAGAATACCAAGTGAAACATTTTCCACAGTTCAGACACTTATATGGTCTCTCCCCCGTGTGAGTCCTCTGGTGTAGCATCAGGTTGGCATTCTGATTGAAACTTTTCCCACAATCTGGACACTCATAGGGTTTCTCCCCAGTATGAGTTCTCTGGTGTTTCACAAGGTTGGAATTATTACTGAAACTTTTCCCACAATCAGGACATTCATAGGGTTTCTTTCCTGTGTGAGCCTCCTGGTGTATCATCAGGTTGGAATTATGAAAGAAACATTCCCCACAATCTGGACACTCGTACCGTTTCTCTCGATTATGAGTCCTCAGGTGTTTAATAAGATTGGAATTCTGACTGAAACCTTTCCCACAGTCAAGACACTTATACGGTTTCTCTCCTGTGTGAGTCCTCTGGTGTATCATCAGGTTAGAATTATGACTGAAACCTTTCCCACAATCTGGACACTCATACGGTTTCTCCCCTCTGTGAGTCCTCTGGTGTTTCACAAGATTGGAATTATGACTGAAACCTTTCCCACAATCTGGACATTCATAGGGTTTTTCTCCTGTGTGCATCCTCTGATGTATAATTAGATTGGAATTCTGACTGAAACTTTTGCCACAGTCTGGACACTCGTACGGTTTCTCTCCCGTGTGAGTCCTCTGGTGTATTGTCAGGTTGCAATTCCGACTAAAACCTTTTCCACAATCTGGACACTCATATGGTTTCTCCCCCATTGAGTCCTCTTGCGTATCACATTTCCTAAAACTATTTGCCACATTGAGGGTGAGTTTTTCTTCAGTGTGTGTCCTCTCATGCATTATCAGCTGTGCTCTTCAATCTGTATTTTTCCCTGCAATATACACGTCGTAGAGTTTTTCCACCAAGTATATTTTTGGATTCTCAAGACCAAAAATATTTTGGATCCCTTCTTGGTGCTTTCATTCAAGCTACTCTTACTTCCTTCACAGGGTGAAGCTTGAATGCCTGCCTATCCTATGTGACTATCAAATGACCACTTCCTCCTGCACAGATTCCAGATTACCTCTCCTTTTCCTGAATTTGAAAATAATCCCCTTTGACCTTTTTCTGGAGTGTTTGCTTGAATTCTACATATTAAGTTTTTTCCAACTCAAAACTCTCTTCATATTCTCTCTTTTGTCTGTCACCTGCTTGGAGGAGAACTCTTTTGTAGTTTTCTGGTGGAGGTGGAAAAGACTTTCATTGCTGCTGGATTTGCTTTCCTTTTAATGCTGCTTGGGATTCTCACTTGTCTGGAATTCTCTTCCTAGCATCTTTTTGATCTACAAAATTGACATAAAGGGTTATTTTAAAAGGTTAGATTGACATAAAAGATTTATAAAATGGGTGCAGAAGCAAGAGGAAAAAAATATGCATTATAATGAAAAAGCAAGCATGCCAAAATTAACTCTGATTCATTTGACATATAGAAGATTAGCGAAATCCAAGTTCACATTTCCACACAAACATTAAATTCTCTTCTGGACTTCAGTAAATCAAAATTCTTCAATAACAAATTGATTATTTTCAAATATATGAAGAAATGTTGAGGCTAGATTATACAGCTACACACATAGAGACAAATAGAGATAAGCCTACTAATATATGTCTGTTAAAAGTCCATGTGTATTTCAGTCTCACAAATGTACGAGAAGTGGGTACACTCAAATGTTTGGGTCTAATTTTAGGGGATGAGACAACTTCAACAGATCAGGGGTTTCAATTAATGCATGGTAACCAAAGCATCTGCAAGATATAATCCCCACCTTTGTGAATTAAAATCACGAAGACAGATTCAAAATAGCGTGTCAAAGTTGGAATCCAAAACTGATGAACTTGGAAAGGGAGTTCAGGGAAGAAATTAAAGATCTGAAAGGAGATATGAAAGAGATGAAAGCCAGAGTAGACTGTGTGGAGCATGAATTGAAGAAGACTAATGCTGTGTGTGAGGCGGAGGTAGATGAGATGACAGACGTGGAAGTGCAGATTAAAAAATTTCAATTAAGAATGAACAACCAGGAGAAGATACTGTATCAGAGCAAGGATGGCTCAATTCACTAATAAAGGGGAGGGAGAAATGAATCTTGACTTGGATAAGACATATAGAATAAACTCCAGATTCGCTGCCATGAGAAAGCTACCAAGGGATGTTCTAGTTCACTTTTCAAGAAAGAAACATGGGATCAGGTTCTGGATTGCCATTTTAAGCATAGGTTGGAAATGGATAATATAGACATTACTGTCTTGTAGGAAATTTCTGTTAGAATTTTGAGAAAAGGAAAGCTTATACTTTTCTTACTGATATCTTGAAGCAGAGAAGAATCTTATTTCGCTGGGATAGACTAGAAGGGATGATACTTACTTACCATGAACAAAGATTTAGGCTGAACTCCATAGGGAAAGCTAAGGACTTTTTAATCAGAGATAAAACTAACCCCTGACACATGTGGAGAAACAGGTATAGAAAAGAAGTTGGTGGCTGACCAAGATAAAAAAACAAGCTGTTGTGCAAGACCCTAAAGTTGGCACTGAACAAGATGATTTGGCAGAGAAAAGAAAAGAAGGGAGGGAGGGAGGGAGGGAGAGAGGGAAGAAGGGGTTAAGGTAAGTTATACAGGAATCTATTATGGTGCTCAAAGATGGAGATTAAATTTTTCATGTGGAACAGTAATGGAGCAAATGCTCAATCGAAGCAAAAAAAAAATTTCACTATCTGAGGAAACTTAATTTGGAAACACTCTGTCTTCAAGAAACACATATTAAGAAACAAAATAAACGATTAGGGAAGGAATTTATATCAGTTGGTGCAAAGAAGATTAATGGAGTTGTTTTATATATAAAAACCCAGTTTAAACCTAAGCTACTTATAGCAGACGATCAGGGTAGATTTATAGTGGAAACAGAACTTAAGGGGTTAAAATCAATAGTGGTGGGACATATAGGCCAAATGATGACAGAAGCAAATTATATGGTTATTTAATGGATCAGTTATTGCCTTTCTCATATGGAAACTGGTTTATATTGGGGGATTGGAATGGGGTGATAGCACCAGCCTTATGAGATGACGGATAACTTAGTATATTTCAGCCTGGTTGCTTCTACGCTGTGGAGGAAACCAAGCAGCCCTCCTTGCTCCCAGCTTCTCCTCCGACCTTCCCTCCACTCACCTTCCAGCTGCTGAAGTCCTGGGAAGAGCAGGAGAAGCACCCTCCACGCCGCCTCCCACGGCTCAGCCGGAAGAGGCACTTCCTCTATTCTTCTGTTTTACTTCCTCTCTAGAAATCTAGTACTCTATTGTTTCAACCCCTTTAGGCTCCCGTCGCTCCCCCTCCCGTTGGATTTAAGTACTCAGCTACCATCGATGCCGCTACTGTATTGACCCGCTTTCTAGTCGCCGGGTGTTTAATTACAGCGCTCGCCACCTAGCGACATAAGGCTGAATTACATGTTCGCAAGGTTGTTTTTTTTAATTGCACGACGATGCACTCATAGCTACTTCAACTGAAGCAAGAACTAAACTAAGCGAAAGCATTACTTGNGAAAAGGTGTGCAGGCTCACCAAGAATCTCTGAGTGAATTGTGGAGGGTACACAGGGTGCAAGATAGAATAAGAACGGTGATGAGTAAGAGGTACCTCACAGTCAGTGGGGAGTGCACAGGAGTGCTTTAGGTTCAAGAAGGCCCCTCTACCCTTTGTAAAAAAAAAGCACCCATTACTGCCATTTTTTGATGTAGAAGTAATGTGATAGGGATGGAGATGGTAGCTCAACTAGACATCAGAAAGATCTAGTTCAGCTGTTTGCTGTAATATCTGTGGCGTGGAGGAATCTGAATGAAAACAACACCAACATACTGTACATTTGACTTTTCTTTTGGGAACTCAAAGGATAGAAAGCACTTCCTAGGGAGCACCCTGGGCCAGGAAAGAGGTTCATTTTAATCACTCCTCCTACCCACCTATCTCCCTTTATGGAGAAACTTTTTACCTTTCAATTGGCATCGCAGTATTCCATCCATAGCTCCTTCATGCCTGACCTGACACTGAAATGGAACTTCTTTGCACTTTTAATCCCCTGTCATTGACCTTTATACTCAATGTTTCTTTAGGTGCCTTCAAGTCAGACGTGACACCTGGGGACTGGCTGGATTGCTTTCTCTGCAGTTTCCTTGGCAAGGATTTTCAGAAGTGCTTTCCGTTTTCCTGCTTCCTAGGCCTGAGAGGGACTGGCCAAGGATGCCCAGATGGCTCTGTGCCTAATGTGGGACTTGAACTGAGCACCTCCCGGTCTGTAACCTGGAACTTTAACTACTAAGCCAAAGTGGATGTTTGCAATCTTTGTAACTGGCTCCCCATTATTTGCCAGATCTTTTCTTGTCTTTAAATCTGAGCTTCTGAGTTAATGGATTCTTTCTCTGACTGTAGGCTGCTGGCTTCTGGCCTGAGGACCAGCAACTCTGGCTATGACATTGCCTGTTGCTACATTTTGCTTGATTTTATGAGTTACAGTTATATAGCGTTGGTAGCTAATCATTCTACTGTAAGGGTTACTTGTTGGAAATTGCACAATTTCCTTCGTATCTCTTTCAGTTTTCTCTACTTGGAGTCTTTGCATAATGACATCCAATGACTATTTTCTCAGAATGATAATAAAAAGAAACCTACTCTTTGCAATGAATTTTTATAGTAGCCAGTCAGCCATGAAACTCTTCCAACTTTTCCCCTTCCATTCTCTCTGTGCTAATGTCCCATTTTGTTCTGCAAAAACCTCCAAATGTTGTAGCTATTGACAGGGAATGGTCCTCACAAAGATCCAGAAGCTTTTGAGCTATTTTAAACATTTTTAGCACCTAAACCATAAAAATGGGACAACAGATGTGCCCAAAAATAGCAATAAAGACAGAATTAAATGTGACAAAAATTAATATAATTGGGAGGCGGAACTGACATTGCGACAATATGACATGCGATCTTGGAGCGCCAAGATCGCCGTCGATATCTCTGCCACTGGATGATCCTTTTGGACCTAAACCATCCCGTAGAGATGGTGATAGAGAAAGGCATATTCTGCTGATCTCAGGGACATCCCAAAGTCCCTGAAGCTCTTTTTTCCAGCGACAGAGAAGCAGCCATTGAAGCTGCTGAAGTTGGGACAGCTCCAGAATGGAAGGAAAGCGGGAGAAAAAGTGTGTCGAATTGGTGAGATAAATTTTATTATTACAAAAGAGATCACCCAAAAACCCCAAAGTTAAATTAAAATTGAAGACAGAAGAGAGTAAGCAGCGAGATTAAGCCAGAATTAAACTTAGTGTGTTATCTTTTTTCTCTTTTTTCTTTTTAAGGATGGAATTTTTACAAATATTTCCTACTTTTTAAATTGGATTGGTTAATTCTTCTTCTATTTTTCATTCTTTTTTTCATACTTATGGATTAAGAATTTCTTTTTTTTTTTTTACAACGCTCGATCAGACTGTTTTTCTTTTAAGAACTTTTCTCCTTAAGTTTGGAATACAAAGAGGGATATAAAAGCAGAGGAAAAAGAAGTAACACTGCCACTTAGAAGCTAGAGGTTTGGAAACATTGTTTTTCTCTTTTCTCTTTGAACATTTGACTTATATCTCAAGGCATCTGAGTTTGTTTATTGAAAGTGATAATGGGAAGAGCACAGGTTGTTTATACAGGTGCTCTTCTGGAGTACTATCAGTAGCTGGACTGGAGTGAAGA